GAAATTCGATACTTTAAAAATATTTGGGATGGAATTTGATTTAAATTGGTTTGTTAACGGCTAGATGAACACGCTTTCATTTTAACGTTTGGGGTTAGAATTTAGCGACACGTTTTTCAAGATAATAATTTAAAATTCTCGATCGTTACACTAAGAATGGTGACAAAGCAACTGAGACTGAGGTGCCTGAGAAAACAAATTGAAGTGACTGCAGTTTATACAAAGCAGTGTGTTGAATTAGCCAAAGAACTTGATCTATGGTCCAAGATGCAGGAAACTGAGGGTGGTTGGCAGAAAAAGTTCTTGTGGTTTGTTAATAGTCAATTGCTACAATGTAACTCTTTCCCCTTTTTAACAGCCCCTTTTTAACAGCGACGGATTGCACATAAAACCAGAAGGCAGTGCAATCGTCCATGAAGAAGTTGGAAGTGTTGTTAATGAAGCCCGGCTTTCGGCTACAAAGATGCTGACTATTGAGGAATTGATGGGGAAAAATCACTCTCCACGAATTCCTTGAATTCTTTTCAGGAAAAATGCGTAGATATTTTATAAGTTCCACAACTTTTCAATAACACATTTTATACCGTAATCTACTAAAAATTTGATTTCTATCCACACCAAACGGGGGCTTTAAAGCATTGATATGAAGCAAAGAAAAAATGTTTTGTCAGGTTCAGATATACTTGATAGACATATATACATTTCTTCCCAGAATTGTGCATTTATATTATTTGGTGGGTGAGAATATAATTTGCAAATGCTAATTATTAATATCCAGGAAAAGAATAAGGGTGGTGGTGATATCCAAAAAGGTTCCTAAAATACAACCAAAGTTGATGATGTTCTACTCATACCACAATTAACCAACAAATTATTTCAAGCTGTCTTCGGCTTTGGCTTAATACGCTTCACTCTCGAATACAGAAACACTCCAGCAAGAGCAATTCCAGTTCCTGCACCAAAGGTGAAAGGAAAACAGCATAAGTACTTGGCAACTCGATTTCTTTTTTTCTTTTTCCAGCAATGCATGCTTAGTGCATACTATTAGATAGTATAGGACAATAGAATGAACAAAATTTTAGCTTGTCTAGTCCATAAGAACAAACATGCTGCTAAAGTTCGTTATTTATAAGAGTAATGCCAAAACAGTCAATGGGTGAAACTGGAGTGTGGGAGAAAAGTAATACCAAAAGAGTTAACGGGTGAAACTGGAGTGCGGAAGAAAAGAACAGAGGTAATGATGACCACCACCCGCTTCACACAGTTACCCACAGAATGTGTGACAGGAGATACCCTCTGCAATATCATGTATGAAACCTGCAGACAAACTCTTGTGAGAAATCTCAGGATGAAAAGATTAGCAAATATGGCAGAGACAATTTTCACTATGAAAAGGTTAGAATATCTATACTATTTTGCATTTTGCTTTGGGGTTTAAGCATTCACTTTAACAGTGCACATGACAATATCATTGCCTCAGATTAGTGTTCCTAAATCAGCATTCAGCATTAACTGAGAATCTGAACAGCTTACTTGCTGATATGCATGGAAGCAGAGAGCAGAAATGAGGGATCTAGTGTAAATCTGCTTAACATTCAACCCCTGTCAAGAAAACAATACGATAATCAATTTCTACCTTTATCTGTTTCTTATGAACAAAACCGTTGATCAAACATATGAAATATGCTGATTATCAAAGGCATAACGAAAATGAATTATAAGCATTTTCTCTCTTGAGATTTACTTACGGCAGTTTCAATGAAAACAGGGGTAAACTTAATTCCTTCCAAGAATATAGCTGCAGGGGCCAGCAAGAAAAATGACATAATTGTGATTATCGAGAAGAGAGTAATGTTGTCCAAAGATTCCTGCACGAAAACCAAACAGATCATGTACATATTCCAAGCAAGCCATTCAAACTTGAGCATAATTTGAGAACCAATACGTCACAACTGGACAATATTAAATAACAGATTTACTGCAACTGATTTCGGCAAAAGTGATTGAAGTGGATAAAAAAATGACCAGAACTCCATTGTTTACTATTGGAATGATACAAAATTGAGAGTGAAATATACCTCTTTCTTGACCATGAACTTTTTGCTAAGGACATTTCGAGATTGATTGGTCAAATTTGAGGCCATTGCACTCCAAAAACCAGCCCTTCAAAAATCACACGCACAAAAAAAAACTTGTATGTGAATATCTCAAATGAACACATTTACCACACTTTAAATAGAAGATGCAGTGAGAGTTATTGCCATCGAATCCATTCCTATTTCTCACCAATTAAAAGAGGCCTCAGTCATTGATGCCAATGCCACTCCGCCAACAATCGGTAAAAGGGAAGAAACAACCCATATTGTAGGGAACTGCTCAAAGAGGAGAGCAAATTAGACACCAAAATATAAAAGTTGAACAACTCAAACAATAACCAAAATACACAATACCATCGCATGCTCAACCAGGGTCCTGGCCTGAAGTCTATGCCTCCATAAAAATTGAGGACGGCATTCATGGGATATGGAAATATTTTAATCATCTTATATTTACACGGATAGAAGGAAGGAGAATTAAAAATAAAATAAAATTAATTAACCACCTCTCCCAGGAACATTGCTGAGAGTACAACCGAGAAGAAGGGCTCCATGGCTTTTATTGTGTGAGTGAATGAAACAGCAACTTTTCCAAGACTCATGTTGGTGAAAAGGTTGCCTAAGGTGTGCACCACTGCCAGTGGCAGAATAGCTGCAAGCTGTCAATGTAAATTCAAGATAATTTTTCCTACTTATAATTGCCAAAACTACAAAGTGTAGAATCACTGCTGTAAAATTACCTGTGTGCCGCTAATTTTTGGCCTTCTATAAAGATTGGTCGTCCACATGAGAATAACAAGCACGGTCCCAACAGCAAATTGAGCTAAAGTGACGGTTACAGGATATGGGTATACTTTGAGCACCTGAGACAATTTATAATCATCTTTACTTTCAGTAATCAAGGTTAGAAATTTCTATTACAAATGTCATGATGCAACTTATACCACGCAATTGAAATACATGATAGTTGTTTCTATTTCCAATTCAAAGGACCTAACTTCAGAACAACCTTAAATTGCCCACCAAATGAACCATATAAATTTATTAATAAATAATGCTTATCCATCTTTCTTCACAGTCAAAAGTAAAATAATTCTAGATGATGGTACTGTAAAGCTCAGAAAGCAGATAGAAAGAATAATTGAATTCCTTCGTTATGGCAGGAAACAAGATGCAACATATATATTTTCCGTTTCAGTCCAAATCCACAAACCAAACAAATGTTACCCGACCGAAAAAGGAAAGCAAAGTAAATTCTAGTCTTCACAGATAAAATATAAAAATTAACCATTAAATGAATGTACATCCAACAATTACCTCTTAAATCTAATATTGTGAGGCAAAAAGATACTTGTACATCAATTAAACAATTCTCAGCATGTATAAAACTTTGAAATTGCACAAACCATGGCATCGGTCAAATATTATTAGCAAATCACCAGAAAACTCAAACTCCTGCTCAAGTTCTAGGAATTTAGCCAAAAAAAGAAATAAAAAAAATCCATCCGCCACAAAATTACACTTAAATTACCAAAGTAATTAAAACCGAATCCAAACTAAACATGCATACCTCCAACATATACAAATAGCATATATAAGTATATTGGACACCATATCATCAAAAGAAAAAGAAATAACGACCTGCTTGTTGTAGATATTGAAGTAGATATTAAACAGGTACCAAAGCCCAAAAAGCGTTCCTAGCACCAAAGTATCTCCAATGCCCTTAGACTTCGGGCTTTCAACAGCACCCGCGCTTTCGGGTACTGATGTGGCCCGAACAACAAGCCCTTCGGATTCGGGTTCTGCAAGTGGGCCCGAAATCCATCCATTTTGTCTCAAAGAACAGCGAATTGGGTTCACTCCACGGCCCGAAACCGACCCATTCTTGCAAAAAAGCCGTTTTGGTGGGATGGGGTTGAATTTGTAGAGAAAAGATGTGCAAGGCTTTTGGAGTTTGGTAGAAAAAGAAATGGAAGGGCAGAACGAAATCGCAGTGCTCTGCATTTTTGGAGATGCAGATCATGAAAAATATAGAGACGGAAAATTTGTGTGTACATATAGTAGTACGGTGAGTGGGGGTGGGTAAAGTTGGTGGCTTCCCTTCGAACTGGGAGAGTGAGTTGAACAGTGAAAGACAAGAATTCAGTAGTATATCTGAGGGGTATTTTGGGGATTTCAGGTGTATGTTACCACTTTTACGAATAATTGCACTGTTGGTTACTCATCTATTGTTCTAGGAAAAGAAGGATTTCCAAACCTGTTAAAATCTTTGTTAAATCGTCAGGCGAATCATCTATATTCTATTCGATGAAATTACACTTTTTTTTACAAGTTGGGATGGTAGTTGAGAATTTGAAGTGCGATAAGTTTCTATAATGGTCTTGTGAATAACCCTGTACTTGTGAGCAACTACAGTCAAAAGTTGGGACTAATTTGTTTCTTTTAAAAATTTGACGATCAAAATATTAATGAAGCAATATGTTGAGGTCCAATGATGTAATTTTCCTTAAAAAAAATGAGATTTGCTACACTGCCCGCATGGGTGACCGCGAGGATGACCGCGCGCACACACATGGGGGGTCGGGATTATTTTATTCACATGGGACCCGAGCCTCGGTTGTGAGTGTGCGGTCATCCCCGCTATCATCGGCGCGGGTCATTTAGCATTTTTCTAAAAAAATTGGTGATGGGAGGTTGGTGAGAAGTAAGTCAATGGGAAAAAAGTTTCGTATATGTGCAAGTTAGGTTTTGGAAAATGATTGCTTTTTCTTTTTCAACACAGAAAAAAGGATTGAAAGGGGGGAATGAATTTGACATCTTTTTGGATTTTTGGCAATATTCAAAAATTCATATGGTAATGGTTCAATATTTCAAGAAGGTTAAGTTACGAGAAAGGTGTCAAAATATTAACGAATTTTAACATTATCAGCTAATTATTGTACGTACGAGGAAGTCAGTTCGACTAAATAATCAAAGTGATTATTAAGATAGAAATATACAATAAAAAGAATTGATTATACGAATATTTACGAGCCAATTTAGCCCAACATTTCAATTTTGTAATTCTTCTCTAAGTGTGGCAACTTAAATCACTGAACTTAACCCCTACTTGAGTTTCATTCTTTAAAATCTCTTTTTTTTTTCTCTCTCAAATTTATTTTTAATCATATATTCTCCCAATAAAATGATTTCACACGTAAATATTGTAAATCATTCCACTAACATAATCCCATATATCTCGATAAGTTGGTTATTATTATTTATTTTTTTGCGCAAGATTGTTTATTGATTTCAAGATTTGATCTATGTCACTTCACTTGCATGTTTGGCTAAGAAAAAATGACCCTTTTTGGACTTCGAATCCAAGTATAAAAAGTTACCTGTTTTTGAATGCATAATTATTTTCTCCGTTAAAAAGGTTAACCCATAATTTTTCTTTTTTCTTTCTTCTTCTTCTTCTTTTAAAATCATAACAAGTTTAATTAAAATTGATTTTTTTTTTTAGTTTATTGAGAATGCTATCAGGTGCAGTCCTGATTTCTTTAAGGGTCCGTTTGATTGCGAATGTGAAAAATGGGTGGTAAAAAAATGTTTTACAGGGAATTGAATTGTCTAAAAATTGTTTTACTGGAAATTGTAATTAATTGTGTTTGATTTGTATAATTTTTCATTTGGAAAATGTTGAGAGTTTGGTATCCGTTTGACTTTGTTTTTCAAGAAAATTGTCCATTAAAGTGATAATTTATTCTACCATTGGGTCTAGAATTTGTTCCAATTGCCAAAAAAATAAAAAACTTAAATTTTAAAAAAAATTAAAAAATTACACTACCAAACATCATTCGTTTGACTTTGTTTTGAATGAAAATTATCAATAAAAGTGATAAAAAAATTTTATCATTGTGTCTATAATTTTTTTCTATTGCCAAAAAAAATGCAAAGAAAAAATGCAGAAAAGCTGGAAAACAAAAAACCAACAAATTCCTTGAATTCATGGAAAAGAGGTGCGTGAGGCTGAAGATGGAAAAGCCAATTCCATGGAAAATCTTGCACATCAAACAGGCAAAAGTTGGAAAGTGTGAAAATGTTTTCCACTTTCCCTAGAAAAATTGGCACATCAAAGAGAGCGTAAATTTAAATTGGTATTTGGTGGGGATTAAAATTAAATCTTAGTAAATTGTTATAGAAAATTTTGAATTGTGTGGTTGAAAAATTGTGGGACCATGAAAGATGTAATTAATATTGATTGTTTAACTTTGACTTAAATTAAAATATGATTTTAATCCGAAACAAACTAGGTCTAAATAAAGAATCCGCGACTGCTGTTGACTCAAGAATTTTGAAGTCCAAATTGAAATTTTTTTTTTTTTTTAGTCAAAAAAGGCAATGTAAAAAAAAGTGCATCCCCCGCAACCAAGTATTTGCTTAGTTAACAAGATTCAACACGATCCCTATCAAAGTAATTAAGACCGACCTACTTTTACCACTCATATTTGCAACTCGCTAAAGCCTGATCAAAAGTAGAAAAATAATTCAAAACTCTTGAAAATTAATTAGTCCATGGAGGAGTCTTGTTCATCAAACAATGAAAAAATCAATCTGTAAAGAAGTCAATCAGTCTTGTAGTTTTTCTATTCAAATCGTTGAACAAAAAGCTCATTGCTTTGTGCAAGAACAGGAGCAGAAAGAAAATCAAAGATTGCTTTGTACGAGATCACCTTTTTAATTCTGGGGTGCGTAGGGATCCAACCATTTGAGCTTTTTTTTTTTCTTTTCAAAGAAAAGTAGCCTCTAATGGCCTGCACAGATGATAATTTCGGTAAGGATGTGCAAAATCATCTTGATGCACCGATGCCATGGATAGGCATGTATATTGCTGCAGCCTCTCTAATCTGTTCTCTGGCAATGGCAGCTGACGCCTTCCATGGATTCCGAAGCAACAAATTCTGGCTCCCATCAAATTATTTCTCCCTAAATGCTACTTTCTTGACATTTTTAGCTGTCTCTTTGAAGCTGCCAGTTGACCTAACGGCGCGGATGTGGGCTGGTATAGACAGGCTTGCTAAGGTAAGCAGTCTGATTTTGATGTCAACTGCAATTGGCAATTTCATGCCATCTTTGGGATCCATGAATGATAAAGAGATACTAATGAATGTAACTGCTTTAGGCATCTTGGTACTTACTGTGATTGTGAATGTCTGCGTTCAAATTGTTCAAATGCGTCGTTTTCTTGATCGCCGAATAATGTTTGTCGAGGAAATAGTAGCGTTGATTTTCATGTTTCTTCAGCTTGTAATGTTGGTTTCTTCGGCTATAACGGTCCCCACCATGAAAAAATATCTCAAATCCAAATATCGAGAAATGCTTAAAATGGCTTCTGATGAAGAACAAGTGGAGAGGAAAAAACTTACAATTGATCAGTTGAGAGCGATGGTTAAGAAATATTGGGTGATGGCAGAAACTAGCTGTCCTCAGTTTGTGATTGCGCGTTCTGCAACGTGTACTGCTTCAGGTGTGATCTGTTTGCTGATTGCTCTCGTTTTGGCAGAAGCTCTGCTTCGTATGCTAATGGTGTATAAAACATTTAGGCGAACTGCTTCTTACTATGACTCGTCAACCATTGGGATTCTGCTCTTTCATTCTATCGGAGTGACTTTAGGTACTATTGCCCCAGCATTGAGATGGTACACTGCCATAAATTTCAAATGCTCAGAAGAAGGCAAAAGAAGCGCCTTCAAAGATGAACTCAAAATCGAGAAGTATTGGACACAGATGCTCGTTGAGTGGAAAGAAAGCCCGTTACCTTGGCACATTCGTGATCGTAAGTGGAGAAAACTTCTTCACAATACAAAAAGGCCAATTCTGAGTTTCTTTGTTAGAGTTCAGATACTGGTTGTTCTAGCCAGTAAACTTGTTCGAATCATCTCTGTCTTCATCATGAGTCCAATCATCTCGTTCTTCCACAATATGGGAAAGCTGGAGAATGCGTCCTACTCTAGTGGATCACGTGTCCAGGTTTCAGAATTAGGATTGAATACAGAGCCGGACTTTAGCCGTTATGTTCTGCTACTAGAAGGTGAGGTACAGTTGCCTCAAAAGACCCTGCAAAACATCTGCAATCAGGTGGATAAAGTGATCCAAATAGGTGAAATGCAGCAACCTAAAAAACTCATAAAACTTATTAAGTTATTTGGCGATTTTCGTGGGGTGAGTGAATTTGACAGCAGCAAAGTTCCAAGTCTGCATGTTCACGAACCTCCTAATTGCTGGTCCCTGCCTCTGGTGACGCTAACAAGTATTTCCATTGCACTTCCCAACATCTCGACTCGCAACGCTAACTGGTTACTGAGCAGCGTGAATGAAGGCCTGTTCTTCGTAAAATTTATCGAGAAATGCCTGGACAGCAATCGTGATTTAGTAAACATCAGAAATGCAGCCAACGTTGTCTGGGTAGGAGTCGAACTTTATAGGAAATGGCACGACAATGATCTCAAAGAAATGTCCCTTAAAGGAAGAAAGTCGAAGGAAACACTACAAGAACTCTCTAATAAAGCCGAGAAGACTGTTTCAGAGTTCAAGAGAGATGTGAAAGATTTTCTTATGGAGGATCCTCTTAATTGGCCAGTTAAGGTTATAGCAGCTAACTCGATGTACAGGATCTGTCGAACTATTTTGCTCGACTTGGAAGATGATTGTCCTTTGACAGACGAGGGAATGTTCGAACGATTAACGGTCATGATTGCAGATATACTCGCGGCTTGTCTTACCAATTTACCCCGTGTTATAACGATCAAGTGTCACCGGAATGCCATAAACCATGGGGCGAAAGCCGTCCGGCAAGCAGCTCTCCTGTTGGGTGAAAGTCAAGAAATTCTTCAAATTCTTCAGCAGCATAGAACACCCAGCCTTGATCCTGATCAAGCTGCTTATATTGAAAAGTGGCGTACCTTTAGAGAGCAAGAAAATTAGTACCAAATCTACAGGTTGAAAGTTGTAAATATTCTTAAGAAGATTCCTCATTTTGCATATAATAATTTCCAATGACTTATTATTTCTACCCAGTCATTGAACTTTTATTTTTGTTTCAATTAACACAAGAGGCTTGTGTTTTGTTTTCAACTAAAAATTGAATTTTCATTCTCGTATGACGGGCCAGCCAACTCATACGAACCAATAAACGATTGCACGTGATTTTCGCTGTTTGGTCCGCGCTAATTGCCACAGTTCACCTTTAGCACAAGCCGAGCCCTCGACTTTGTGGGACAAACCAAAGACCTGCCCCCTCTGTGTTTCTTTCAACAGTAATGAAATTGCTTAATTATATAATATGCAGCTTAAAAGCCCATTAATACATTGATTTTGTCATCCAGATTGATAAATTTTGTATCGTTAGCTAATCTTTTATTATGGATCTCTAAACATAAACTTCTATATTTCTTCTTTGTTTGCAGGAATAACACTACCCTGAAATTCCACAGTATTTCACAAAATTACTTATTGAATAAGAAATTCAAAATAAAATATTCTTTTTGACATAATAGAAACAGATCTGAACCCATCATAAAATTGACAAATAGGATTGGTAATGCTCTGTCTAAATCAAAACTTTGAGCCTCAAATTTTGGAGTTGAGTATTCAGATAAATGTCCATAACAACATACTATGTTCCCTTGTTAAGATTGGTTATAAATGAGCAAAGAGAGAAGAGGAACAAAAGAAAATAACTAACAAAAATGATAAATATTATTAATACACGCGCATGCTCCCCGGTAACCACATCTAATGTTATATTCTGTTTGTATGTACTACCACAGCAAGAATGCCTGTTATGTTCCTTGTCGCATTCTATTTGTTTTCATGTCCTTCCAGCTTCTCAGTTTGCACGACTAACAAAACAATTTTATTCTGTAGTATCCCTAACTTCAGAAGCAGCCAATGCCCTTTGTTCATTTGCTTTCTCTACAAGCTTTAGTTGAAGCCAACCTGAAAGAAAATGCATTCATGAATTCCTTTCTTGATTCACTTAGCGTGTTTAAACTTATATTTTCAATTTTTTGTAAGTATCCAATTTTCTTGTTTTCCACAATTTTCAACATGTAGACTAAAGAAATCTAGTCTTCTTAGAAATAGTTAAGATTAACCAAAACAACCTCTCTGCCAACAAATCTAGTAGGGACAACCAATGAATTGACCCAAAACATTTTTTTAACTGAAACACTAAAGAAGAGCACAGACAAAGATTAAAAAAAAAAAAAAAAGATCAAATCCAAGGTAGTTTCATAGATCATCACTACTACAATTCAACATTCTTGTGGAGCAAAATAAGCTTGTGCCCAATTTTATGAAAATAGTACCAAGTTTTCCTTTCTTCCTTATCTAAGCAGTTTCCAAAAATCAAATGGAATTTTCTTCCTTTCAATGCAAAGCTAGAGAACATTCGAACAAAATGACACGGGCAGTCAGTTTTCCAGGAAAGAGTTGCCAAGTTCTGCTCAACCTAGACCACTCATATATTGTAATAGGAAATTTGTGAAATAATGCAAGTAACTTCATGTAAAATGGTATGCCACTAGATGATTAGATGAAGGGCCTGATATACTTACCAAGAGGGGAGCAAATTGCAGCACCCATAACTGAACCCAGCATCATATTCCTTGCACGCCAACGAAGTGAACCTGGCACTGGAAAAACAGAACAAACAAAAAGTAATTTCAATCTGAAAGAAGAGAATTTTAAATGTGTTGTAACAAGAATTTGTTCTCTTACAAATTAAACCAAATGTAGCAGCAGTTGCAGAACCAGCTCCAACTACATTATAAACGTCATGGACGCCTCGCTTTTCAGCAAGCAAGTTCTGTAAGCCACAAAAGGCAGCAGTAAACATTCCAAGGCGCACACCACCAACTATTGAACCACGAGTCACCCGAATAAATCTTTTCTCCATTGCATCTCTCATTAGTCGATACTGTTCGCGCTTATCGGGTGTGCTCCCAAGCTTCAACATTACTTCTGCATCTTTGCTCTGAGAAATGAAGATGTAAAATTCTTCTCTTAAAATATTGAATATCAATGATATTATGACCCTGTTTGGTTCGGCTAAAAAAACTTATTAAAATCTAAGTCAAAGTCAACAATAAATGTTAACCATACATTTCATGGAACCTACAACTTTTCAACTACACATTCCATCAACGTTTATCAAAATTTACTAAGAATCTGATTTTATCTAAACCAAACAGGGGCTATGTATACAAATATAATAATAAACACATAAATGCACCTCATATAAGTAATTTTTTACTTAATGAAGCGTAAAAGCAAAATCACTATGGTGCAGGAGGCGGGACTGTTTTATCCAATTTTGAAACTTTTAGCTTGGAATCACATGTATAGCTTGAACATGTCAAGCATTACTTCTCTTGAGCTGGTTAAAAAAAAGAAGCTAGAAGCAACCAGGGTGGCTTTATGTTTTTGGTGGTATTCTAGAAATAGCAGAACGATGGTCTGTTACATTATGGTTCTCATTACATTCTAAATCCCGAATGCAGCCTCATTTTTACGCGCAGATGATAGTGAAATGTAATAGATTTCCTATGCAATGGCCTGTTACCATCCACACACTTTAAGTAATCAAGCTCCTATTGTGATGGTTTTCTTCCCCTCTTGCTAATAATGTATATTAAAAATTCAATTTTTTTTTTCACCAACTAATAACCACATGCCTGAAGTAGAACCAATCTTCAATTGTATTCTGCATGTCCAGATGGGCAGCTGGCCCTAGAAATTGGATCCCTTGGTAGAGTAAAATCCTCTCCTAGATTCCGACAAATATGGTGCTGTATATACACATAATAAATTTAACCGCGTGTGCTTGTTACAAAAGCATACGCTTCTAAACTACCTCGTCTACAGAGGATTGAACGTTCCTAGTTTATAGTTTTGTTATCAGTGGAGTACAGTGGTCACCAAACTTCCTACTATATTCATGTTACTTCTTTCAGGAAAAGAAACTACACTATCTTTTCCATTGAAATCTATGTGAGCAAAAATGGAAGCTTTCATTAAACAAAAACCATCATTTTCAGGATGCATACTTACAACAGAAGCAGATGCCTCTCTGCTACCTCCATATAACATTCCAGCAAATACTCCAATTACAGTTGCTGTGCCCCAGTTGACCATCCCAGGCATCCTGGGTGATCCCTATTTAAGAAGATCAGATTAGCCTGTCATATTACGAGCCACAACTTTCACACAGAAATTTCACAATCTCTTCAGCATCAAAAAAGAGTCGCCATGATAGCATATAATGTATATATTTGTACTAATCATTATATTCAGAATATTCAATCAGCAGGGACTCTGAGGGCCGCAAGATCAATAAATACGGATAATAAACTACCCCAAAATAGCTTCATTTGAGAACTTCAAGAAAGCTGATCAAGATTTATTCGTATTCCAGAAACTTACACTATAGTTGGTGGCAATCTGCCAGTTGAATTCATATTCACTTGATTTTTCATGAATTCCAATCCTAAGCCTGATTCCATGCTATGACTAAAATGAAACCATTTTTCTCAGTTCGATACTTGGATAAAAAAAGAAATTGATGAAAATGAATGGAGAAGATAAACAGAAGCAGACCATTTCATCAACTTTTATCAACTTTCAACCGCACATTTCATCAATTTTTATCAAAATCTACTAAAAATCTGATTTTAATCTCCACCAAACATGGCTTAATATGAATTCATTGTGGATCAATCTGTTTAGCTCAATAAAATTTTTAAAACTTTCAACCATATCTCTCAATTTAATTCAAAATAAGCTCAAGCTTCACACCTAAACCCCGTTTATTTATTGGTCCATTTATTGGAAAAATGATTAATTAGAAAATAAATTGAAGTGTGCAGAATTGAATTTAAATCAAGTTAATGCAGTTAATCATTCCTAATCAATAAAGATTGTAAGTACCTGCAACAGTCAAAAGGGAAAAAAAATTTATAGAAGAAGCAAATGATAGAAATCAAGCAGTAGAATTTACACAGAGTAAAGAAAGAGATTTACATTACTGACGGTTTGCTCTTCGTTTTCAAGGGCTTCCATGATCAATAGAAAATGAAAGAGAAAAGCACAGTTATAAACCCTAATTTAAAACTCGGTCCAATCAGTCTTTTTTTGTTTTTAATATATGTTTTTCAGATTTGAAATGGCAATGGAACTTGAACTAAACTTGCGTTTCATGTGAGCGATTCTGTTAAATGAGTGAGTTTAATTTGGTGGGCCGACGGACTAACCGACCTTGAAAAGTTTATACATCAGGTATTTAGTTTGACATTTTAAAAAATCAGGTGTTAAACTTTAAAATTGTAAAAATTAGATTTCTACTTTTTATTAATTAATTAAATATTTAATTGTGTAATTTGATAGCGTGTATCTTATTAATTAGTTAAAAATTAATTTCAGGTCACAGCTTATCAAATTAATTAGCCTCAGATTATTTTGAGGTCACAGATGAAAAAATTTCAGGTCACAGCTTATCAAATGAATTGGCCTCGGATTATTTTGAGGTCACAAATGAAAAAATTCCAAGTCACAGCTTATCAAATTAATTGGTCTCGGATTATTTCGAGGTCACAGATGAAAAAGTCTATAGGTCACAATTAATTTCGTTGGTCACAAATCAAGAATTTTAAGGTCACAGGTAATTTTTTATAGGTCACAGACTAAAAAAATTCAAAACTTTTACAGGTCACAGCTCTATTTCAACGAGTCACAGTCCCAATTTCCAGGTCACGGACACCCACACAGGGAGCATCTAAAGTATAAACCAATGACATATCCGTGCTAATCACATCCGAAACAATTAGTTTCCCTGGGAAAATGTAAACCAAGAATGCTGATTGTATTTCATTTTCTAATATGAAATGCAAGCTTACATACCAATGAGAGCTCCCTTGTTTCCTGAGAGGGATCTATTGAATGAATATTCGTATCCATAGCTTGTTTCTTTCCTGGAGGGAGATTATCATTCGAAGAAACTGATAAGGGGACACAGTCAACAATCTTTGATGCAATTAGACAGTGTCCACTAGGATTGTGCCCTTCAATACCCACCATCTGTGATTCTGTACATATATGCAGTATCAAAGTTATTCTTCATCCTAAATAATAATTTCACACATATGTGAAGATGAAATCTGTCCTGCAAAAAAATAATGAAACCTGGCCTGGGAAAATGGAAAACTGGTTTAATTTCTGTGAGTCAAGACGCACACGTTGGAGAGGAAAGGGGAGGGGACGGGGAATGGGAATGGGGGGAGAAACAGCGTCAGCGTCGCAGTCGCGATGCCGGCAATCGCGACGCTGTTGTGGATTAGAGGAAGGGGAGGAGAGGAGGGAGGGGGAGGAGAGGAAAGGGGAGGCGACGGGAATTGGGGTAGAAATTAGGTTAACAATTAGGTTTTAATATACTACCTGATTTTTACAAAAATAAACTTAAAAACTGACTTTTAAAAATGACAAATTAAACCACTGGTTTTATATAATTTTCCCCCAACCTTAATCTTACAGATCTTTCAACACATTCCAAGCCCATTTTACAGATTTCTCAGTACAAATCATGTCTGATGATGCACACAATTGCCAAACATACCTCAATGGCTAGGACGGTATTTATTAATTAGGTGGCTCATATTTTTGTACATGGAAGCTAGTTGACGGAGCGGACCCGAACTCGTAGAGGAATCAACGAGCCCATCAGGTTAGAAGCATATGAGTTGGGGGTGCATGAGCTCGCCCCCATGGTACAAGATTGTAAGGTTAATTTCGGAATTATGATTTTATATAGGTCTTGTCTCGTGCAGCTGAATACTTCCATTTTCAGCCTTTTTTTGACCGTTACCAATGGCTGACGGGTCCCACCAAACTCACATGTAGTAAAAAATTGTTGGCCACTTTTGAAAATAACGGGCAGCAAAACCATTTTTGTTGGACAAAAATCCGCATCAGACATATGGTTTAAAAAGGTGGTAGTGAGGCGCGCTTCTTACTGTGAAACGCATGTAGTATGCCTCGAGAAGATATTTTTGAGACTAAAAATATGAGGCTTATGCCTATAAATCTGAGGCGCACGCCTCAAGGCGTGCCTCACTACCGCCTTTTGTAAAAATTGAGAGTAACAAAGAGGAAGATGATGGAGAAATTAAATATGATGATGATTTCATTAACGATACTAGTAATAGTGATGATAGTGTAAACTATTAGACTTTTTTTTAGTTTAAGTTGCATCTTTTTTTTCCATTGCAAATGGAGTGATTTCTAACTTCTATAATGCTTTTTTTTTTAAATATCTTCTTTTTTTAGGTGGACTATATCTCAGTATGCTAATTGTAATATATCCTATTTACTATATGCTTCAACTTTTATTTTTTTTATATTTTTGTATTATTTTATAATTCTTTTACTTAATTTTTTTGTTTTTTGTGAGGCTTACGCCTCAATCCGCCTCAAGACTTACACCTTGCCTCATAAAGAAAAATAGCCACAGTGCTTAATTTCGCCTTTTTAAACCTTGACTAGACACACGCATAAACAACATATTGTAATCCTATTTGAAGTTGGTGGGTTATTTTGCGCCATACTACAGTGGACATCAGGGGTGGAGCTATGATTTTTTGTCAGGGTGGGCACAATTTACCTGATGATGAACGAATTAAATAGAAATACTAATCTTTTAATAATCAACGTAGCAGATGAGAAAAAATCAATTGTGGGAGTTTACATGTTACTCTTATATCTTGAATTTATAGGTGTTTCGATATGCACAAACAAGAAGAAGAGAAGTGTATCCCCAGTAAACTTTCGATGAACATCCTTTTTTTTTCAACTCTATTTGATATAATATTACGTCAATGATCAATCAAAGGTAAAACAAAAATCCAATCTTTCGCAACCATATTACCTCTTCCATATTCTACTGAGATCAAATCAGTCTTGAGAGTGCTAGCTTCTTTAAGCTTATGCGAGGCATACCCCTACTATCTAAGTTATTATGTCCTCCATTTGTTTACCTGAACACTCATTTCTTATTATATCACCACTTTCCTAAAATCTAATTCTGCTACATCCATCTAATGATCTTGTGAACATTGCGTATTAAGTGCTGCAACGCATAACTAGTCTGGCAATCTAATAAATGTCTGCAGAACTTGATTGTTAACTTGGCATCTCTCTTCTAATCGCCTAATATTTATGTAAGACATTTTTCTCATTTCGTCCAACTCACTCTAATCTTATTCATGACATTCTCTACAAACCCCTTTCACTTAATTACCCAATTTCTAAAACAATCATTCTCTAACATAACATATTATTCTACTGCAACCATACCGTCCTTGTTAATAGATTCATGTATTCAGATATCTAAAATACTCAAACTTTCTAGTTCTTGGTTTATCTTCTTCCCAGCGCCCCTTGAAACTATAGTATCAGCAAATAACATACATGATACATCAGAGCTCAATTATGGTCAACAAGCACAAATGGACTCAGGGTCAATGTATAGTTTAAAAAAAAAAAAAAAACTTGTCCACTAGTGTCCCCACTAGATTCAAACTATTAACTGTTCCAGCATCGTGTAGGTGGTGGAGCAAATGGCTTTCTTAATAAATCTCCTGCCATAAAACTAAAATTATTTCTGTAAAACCATTAATTTACAATCAAGCTACAATATATAAACCTTATACACAATAATATGAAATCAAATGGGACCTGCAAGAAAACATCATCGAGCTCCCAGAAGCTGGAATCGCCAGAGGATGAAGAAGAATCGGCGCTTACAGCAGCCATCGCCCTCCTGTCCATTTTCAGATATCCCGCCTAAAACATATCACCGATTCAAAAATCCCGAAGGCACGAAGCAGAGGCTCGAAGACTTGAAGTAATTGCTGGCGGGCTGTTATCGTCAAAGGATGATGAAGCGGAATCACCGGAAGCTGGCTGGAGGAGACGTAGAGGTGAGAGGAAAGGTGGAGGTTGAGGTTGAATTGAAATCGAGGGAGTCTTGGGCTGGGAGATAATTCACTGTTTTGTTTTTAATTTTTTGGAATGGATTGGGTAGTTTAAGTCTTGGGCCAGGAGATAAATATAAGGGAAATTACAAAAAATCAGGTATATAGTTTACACCAATTCAAAAATCAGATTGAAAGTTTAATGATTCAAAAATCAGGTATTTTATTTTATATATCAAACCATAAATCTATCAAAACCCTAAAATAATCAATTTCTCTCAACTCTTTCACTCTCTCACTATTTCTCTCCACCGCCCGTCGCCTCCACCTGCTTCTCCTCCCTAGTAGCGTTGAGGCCCTGCTGCCGTTCACAGCAGCATCGTGATGCTGGCAGCAGCGACGAGACTCCACCGCCTCCACCTGCTTCTCCTCCCTTCTCCCTCCCTCCCCCTCTCCCTCTCCCTAGCAGCGTCGATGCGCTGGCAGCTGTGAATCGCAGTAGCGGCCAGCGTCGCGATGCCTCGACGCTGCTGGTGTCTGGGTCAACTGTGTTGGTGGATGGTTGTGGGTGTGTAGGTCGGCTATGTTGGTGGATGGTCTGTGGGTGTTGGGCGCATCTCTCGTTTGTGTGTGGCTATGTTGGCGGATCTGTTTGTTGGTGGTTTTGTGCTGATCTGTGGTGGTTTGGGTGGTGTTGTAGTATGTGCGGTGGTGTTGGTGTTGCGTTGTGGTGATGTTGGTGTTGCAAATGGCAGTGGCGATAGTGATTGGCGGTGGTGATTTGTTGGCAGTGACTTTGTTGTTGGTAGTGTTGTAGTGCTGTGGCGGTGGTGGCCGGTTAGGGCGGTTGCAAGTGGCTGTAGTGGTAGTGTTGGTGACGATAGTATGTGACATACTATTTGATGGTATGTGACCAAATATTTGTTAATTTGTGACCGACAAATAAATTGTGATTGATTAATTTAATAATATGTGACCAATAAATAAATTGTGACTTATAATTATGTATATGTGACCTTTAATTGTATAACGTGACTTTATTATATTTAATTAATAACTATTTTTAATTAATAATATATATACCTGAATTTTGTTAAAAGTTTGATATAACTTGATTTCTGAATTGGTGTAAACTATACACCTAATTGATGATTTTTTGCGCAAAATATAACTTTAAAAAAAAAAAAAACCTTCTGGGCTGGGGTTGAGCCCAGAAGTTCAGGCCCATACCAGTCCTTATTGGGCTCCTTCCCTGGTGGACATAGACACAAATTATCGTATCCCTTAAATTTCTATACGCCGATTTTATTGTTCTTCTTTTCTTTTCTATTTCAATGTTCAAGTTTTGCACAGCAAACCACTTTCAATCATGGTTCACACTTGACCATAAAGCCATTCAACAAGCATCATAGTTTTTTCAAAAATCTTACCGGGCTGCAGTGGCTAAAAGTAAACTAAAGCAATTACACAGCCCAAAAAGTAAGCCTAATCTTCTTAAAGAAACTATATTTGTCTCCTAAAAGGATAAGAAAAACCTAAAAACAATTCAGTCAGAATCTTTAATAAAGGTCCCATTAAATTATGTATTCCTAACACACATCATCATGTATTCCCAAGCAAAGAAAAGAATCGTTCCTCAGCCATCACACTTTTGATACATTTTCTCTTCCAAATCTCTGGTTTTCAGCAATGGATTGCTTCCTTCTGGCCTTATTGTTTATCGTACTTCACACATTAGTCTCGGTAGGTTATAGCTCTAGCCACATTAATGCGTGTAGATCATTCTGTGGCAACCTTACGGTTGATTACCCTTTTACACTTCAAACTGGATGTGGGCATCCAGGCTTCCGAGAACTCTTATTTTGTATCAACGACGTCCTCATGTTCCACATTAGTTCTGGATCGTATCGCGTTCTAGACATAGACTATACCTATCAATTCCTCATACTAGATGACCCTCACATGTCGACTTGTGACACAATGGTGCTACAAGGCCGGGGCAATGGATTTGTGGTCGAGGAATGGCGTGCACCATATTTGAACCCGACACCTGAAAACATGTTCATGCTACTTAAGTGCTCGCCCGCGTCCCCACTGTTCCAAGGTTTCCCCGGGAAACACTTGCCCTGTCAAAATGTATCAGGGATGAGCTGCCAAGAGTACTATGGCTGCCCAGCTTGGGACATGTTCGGACCTAAACATGTTGGATTGAGGTCAGGGTCGGGCCCGCTCGAGTGCTGTGCACTGCCATTTGAAGCCATTAAGGCTGTGAATCTTTCGAAACTTGATTGCCAGGGTTATAGTAGTGCATATAGTCTTGCTCCCCTGAGAGTGGCAGGGCCTGATGAATGGTCTTATGGGATACAGGTTAAGTACTCTGTACAAGGCAAAGAGTCATTTTGTCAAACTTGTGGTGCCACTGGTGGATCTTGTGGTTATGACATTGAACATAATAGTGATTTGTGCATGTGTGGAAGCTGGAATTCTACATCTAATTGTGATACAGGTTAGAAATTGAATTTGTCCATTCATTCCAAGAAATATTCTTTGGTGCACCCTCTTTTAGATTCCCGTTTTATATTGAGGTCAGATAGAGGTGTCAACTTGATTGGACCAGAAATGCCCGATTTTGGACTATCATGCCATGTCGGGCATACAACTTTTTAACAGAATTCTTTGCGTTTTTGTGTCGATGTCAATATTTTCTGCTGATTTAACAATTAGGCTTTTAGAAATTAGAACATATTCTTAGGTGCATCCTCTTCTTACTTCCCCTTGATGTCAATTTGATCGTATCATGCTATATAAGCTTTTATGGAATTCTTTAAATTTGTGTGGATATATGATTTATTTTTATTTATTTTTTTCGCAAATTTTAATGATTAGACTTTAAAATGCAGTCCACTCAACATCGGGCAGAAGAAATTGGTCTTTAATGGTTGCAATAGCAGGTATATTTAGACAAGTGTTAGCTCTCGTTTGGTAAAACCCTTTCCATATTTTAAGTTGGTCAAATTTCAATTTTTATCACACGTTTCGTTGTACAATAGTCCATATAATGCATTTTTGAAGGATTTATATTTGTCGAGACGTGCGAAGCTTTATAAATAAATAATAACGAGCAGTAGATAAGTGTATAATACTCCTGAGTTCATCGGATTGTGTTGTTACAAACGAAGTTTGACCATTTATCAACCGATTTATAAAGTCCGTCAAGGGATTTAAATATTTTTTCTTAAATGAGATTATTGTATGATATAACATAAAAGTACCCTTTTTGCCCCCAACTAATCGATATATTTGTCATATAAGAAGTAATGCGTCAACTTCAACCAAATAAAACAAGGAGAAAAAGAAAGAGTTATCATAGTTGATTTTTAAGATTATTAGCAATTTAGCACATGCAAGAGGGAAATTAAGTTGCCTATTTTTCTTAAGCTTGTCGTAAATTTTATTTCTTTAATATTTGTTGAGTTCGATCCACTTTATCATACTTACAATATATTGGGAAATGCATTGTAACTTGATTGAAAATCTTGTAGGATTTGTGATATGTAAAGCTATTTCGAGATATCCCACTACACTTGCATGAAGAATTATAATTTTAAACATATATGGCTTGAAGAGTGTGCTAGATCGTGCCTAAACATGGAGTAGACAAATGGTGTCGGGACTTGCCGTAAGATTGTTACATTTTTCACTTGTTTTCATCTTTGAAATTTATCGTTTTTTGAAGCATGGAAGATATTAGATTAGATTATTTTTAGTACAATGTAGTGTTTGTTGTGAACTTTTTGAAATTAATCGTTTTTTGAAGCGTGGATGATATTAGATTAGATTATTTTTAGTACAATGTAGTGTTTGTTGTGAACTTTTTGTACTCACTTGGAATATTATTTATTCCGTGAGTAGATGATTGTAATTATTTTACGTATTTTAAAGTTATTTTTATCGCAGTTAGAAGAGAGGGAAAAAGAGCAATGCTATATGGACAGAATACACACAATAGGTGGGTCCCAATTTTTTTAGCAATATTTAATTCATGTGGACTCCGCCTCTCCATGTGAGTGGAATTGAAATTCTGTAGAAAATATGTAAATATTTCCCTGTACTTGCAGCCTTTTTGGGAAAAAAACTATTTTTGATTGAACAAGAAATGAAGGAGAACGTGGCCCCACTTATAAATGAGTGATACTATGTAGTCTCACTGGAGTTACAACCTCGATGTAGATGATATGTCATAGGACTTGGAAGAGTCAGACAGCAAAAGATAGTCAATGTCGTTGGAGAACCCAAACATATATAAACCCAACAAAGGAAGTCCATACTTCCAATGTGAAATCTAGATTCTCATAAATTCTACTGAAAATCATGACAAATCCTCATACTTCCGATTCGGCGTCCACGTTGAGTAGGTACCCATACACCCTAAGTGGTAACCGAAACTGGAAGACACGATGTCTGCTCTGAAACCATTGTCATAAGACTTGGAATAGTCAGATCACAAAAACTAGTCAATGTGGTTGAAGAACTCAAGCCTATATAATCTCCACAAAAGAAGCTCATACTTCCAATGTGGAATTTAAATTCCCATAAATCCCACTGGAAATCATAACATGATGCTGGATGATAAGTTAAATGAAAGACTTATTTAATTGCACATATCATTTAATGTGACGTTAACACCACTTAAATTAGGGTTGTAACTCATTGGGGCTAAATATCATTACTCTTTAAGAATTTGTGGGCATTTAATATCCATTGTTTAAAGGATTTATAAATCCTCAATAAGCATTTATTTGGCTTTTGGATAGGCTACAGGTTGCATTCTAGCGCGTAGACGGGACGAAAACAAAATTGTTAAGAAAAATAATTAATTATTTAATAAAATATATGCACGTGGATACCTTGACGACGAATTCGTGATGATATCAAAGGGTGAAAGGCATGTACAAAAATAAAATGCGCATGTATCAAATTCATTCCCAAATTGACTATATTTGTTTGGTCTATCAATGCACGGTTCCATTTCAACAATTAAGGATTTTATCGGATGACTTATTTGCAAGACGTGCACATAACAAGTCATTCTCAAAATGGCTATGCATCTATAATCACTCAAAACACAGGTCAATTTCAATAACTTGAAGTTCTTTTAAGAGTCTGTATGAGACGTGCACGTAACGGAGTCATTTCTAAGTTGAATACGTGTATATAATCACTCATTGCATATTTCAATTTGAGAGATCTAAAGTTTTGTAAGAGTCATTTCGAAATCTATTCTTTTTGCATGATCACTCAATGAACTTACATGAAAACTTAAATTGCAAATAAATTGTTATAATTTAATTCGTTAAATACCAGGCACGTTTATTATATTTATCGAACTATTTTTTATTATTAAGGAAAAACATCAACAAGGCCTCCAATTATTTTTCTCCAACTTTTTTACGTGCAATAGTCATCTACAGCTATTTATAGCAAGTTGGTCAACAATTTGAACAACTTGAAGCGATTTTTATTTCAACTATGGATGGAATTAAAAGACAAAAACGCCAAGGGCATTTCATATACTTTTGTGCTGGATTTTTTCATTTTATATACCAAGTTCATATATGCTCATCATTTTTTAAAATTTATTTTCATCTAAACTTATTTTCAATTATACATTTTATTAAGTTTTCAAGTTTTATTAATTTTTCAATCATATATTTTATCAATTTTTATCAAAAATTTTATTAAAAATCTGATTTTTAGTAAAATCAAACACGAGCTAAGAGTAGGGATGTTAAGTTGACTCGCGAGCCAAAACTCGAGTAAAAAATGTTCAGGTTTTTTTTGGCCCGACTAGAGCGTAGCTTTTGCTCGGCCAAAAAAAATTTATGCTCGATTGGGGCTTCCGGCTCTGACTTTATCGAGTCGAACTGGACTAAGCTAGCTTACTGTTTTTTTTTTTTTTTTTTAAATTCGTGACAAATTTTAAATTTCTTTAAAGAATTTAAAATTTGTGTAATTTATACGAATTATAAATTAAATAAAAGTTACAACTCTCATTTTTTTCGGATTTGGAATCGACTACAATCAAATTAGGCGGAGTTAAAATTGTATACGAATAAAATATTTTGTGTGCAAATTTTCTTGAAACAAATAAATTTAAAAATCACATATTTTTTTAAAAACTAATCAATTTTAAAAACTTACAATATTTATAGCAAAAAAAATAAAAATATATCTATTTCAAACAAATTTAAATTTGACGTAATTTAATACAGTTGATTTGAAAATTTTAATTTTTTTTGGCTTGGCTCAAAAATGGCTCGGATTGACGCCCCAAAATGGGGCTCGATTCGAGCTTTGACTCAATTCAACCGACCCACAAGCAGGGTCGGCTCGGGTTTTCTCGAACCAAGCCACACGCCACACAAGTTGGCGAGTCAAATTGACACCCCTAATTAAGAGTTCCGAGTCTGTAAAAAAGATGAATTCTACTTTTTTTTCAATCATTCCCATAAGAAAGGGAGTTGATATGGAAGGTTGCAAGACCGTAAGAGAAAATCTTCTTTCTTTGTTCTATACTAATGTTGCCTAAGAACGATACACATATGGTCCAACATAGCACATTCACTTAGCCACGTTTGAACTTCATTTTAATTTGAATAATGTTATTTATCATTATAATGATGGAACATTGGTGATGTGTGAACTTCATTTTAATTTGAATAATGTTATTTATCATTATAATAATGGAACATTGGTGATGTGATACTCTATGCGGATTAATGGAATTGGACAAATCAATCTTTATGAGGGAGAAGAAGAGGAGAGAGAGAGAAAAAAATGCAATGGATAACGAGTTGACACATTCATGGGCGGAGGTAGTGGGGGGCATTGCTGGGCTGTAGCCTAGCCCAACTGCCCCCCGGCCCATATAAATTCTTTAAGAAGAAATTGTAAATTTTGGTCAAAATATTAGTATTAGCACAAGTGATAATTACCAAAAATCAACTGTTTAGTTTTGAGTTTATGAAAATCAGGTTTTAGCTTTATTTAATTAAAAATCAGGTTTTATCATTTTTAATTAATAATAATATTATAACATTAAAATAACCTATATA